TAAGACTGGTTTATCTTCTTAACTTCCAAGTTTGTTATTGGAATTTAAATTCTACCAGCTAACATAACGAGATTTGAACCATATCAGCAGCTTGGACTTTGGGATTATTTGTCTAGTGACACCACCATTATTCCATCACCTCCCCTACTGGTGTGACACTCTAATTTGGGAATCTAATTGGCTCAGAATCTAGCACTCTCAAATTTCCAGTCAAGAATAATGTGTTGTGTCTATGACTTTCCCGTCCAAATTTCCAACGATTAGGTTTGTTTCAATTGGTTTCAGCCTAATTTCAGTAGCCTGCTGTGGTTCGCTGGTTAGTATTCTCGACTTGGAGGTAGAATACAGCTGCAGTTGCCTCTGCAATTGGCTCCTCAGTTTCTGTCCCACAGACCGCAATCAGTGAAGATAGATAACTGCACCTCCTCCACGATAACACTTAACACTGGAGCCCCCCCAAGGATGCGTTCTCAGCCCCCTACTATACTCCCTGTACACTCACAACCATGTAGCCAAATTCTGAATGAACGTCTACACGTTTGCTGACAACACCACCATAGTGGGATGGATATCTAACAACGACGACACGGTGCAATGAAGACAACCTCTCTCTAAATGTCAGCAAAACTAAAGAATTGATAATTGACATCAATGGAGCGGGGGTTGAGACCATCAAATTCCTAGGAATGACGATAACCGACAACTTGTGCTGGACTTCCCACATAGATGAAACGGTCAATGAAGACATAACAATGCCTCTTCTTCCTCAGGTGGCTCAGGAAATTTGGAACGTCCATAAGGACCCTCACCAACTTCTACAGATGCACCACTGAAAGCATACTGTCTGGGTGCATAATGGCCTGGTACGGCAACTGCTCTGCCCAGGACCGTAAGAAACTACAGAAGGTTGAGTGCACAGCCCAAACCATCACAAAAGCCACCCTCCCAACCATAGACTCCATTTACACAGCTCGCTGCCATGGAAAGGCCGCCAACATCATCAAAGACCCTTTCCACCCTGGTAATGCTCTCCTACAACCTCTTCCATCAGGCAGAAGATACAGAAGCCTGAACACACGCACCGGCAGGTTCAGGAAGAGTTTCTTTCCCTGCCGTTGTTAGACTGATGAATGGACTCTCTAACTTCAAATAATGCTGATCTTGTTACTGTTGATCTTGCCTCGCGTATGTCCTGGACGGTGTAATCTGTCCAAGTCTTTTTTCACCCTATGATCTGTATGTCCTTGCTCACTATGATTTGCCTATACTGCTCACAAACAAAGATTTTCACTGTACGTAGGTACACATGACAATGAATCAAATCAAATCAAATCAAAAAAAGAATGTTATCAATCCAAATCCCACTCCAGAGACTTGAGTGTAAAATCAAAGTTGACACTGCCAGTGCAATCTTTAGCTGACTATTGCTTTAATAAAAGGTAAAGCCTCCATAGTTCTACCAGACCACAGGGCTGTTCTCTTGTTAGAGAGAGACAACTGGTGGTCATTTAATCTGAAAGTCAGCGTACCCCAGACAAAGGGAGAGGTCAGGAAGAAGAGACCCTCATAGTAACCTCAGCTGGGGTGAGAATTGAACCCATGCTGTTGGCACCACATTATGTTGCAAACTAACCAGCCAAGCTAAGGGCAGCTATTCTCACCTGTCCTCTGGCATTCAGTTCTTTCGTCTTTGCTGTGATGAACGCAAAAATTATGGGTGCAAGAGATGAAGTAGCTTGAGAAGAAACTTACATAGAGCATAAAAGTGACATGGGAGCTGCTTAACCCGATTAGGTAAAGGGGTAGTTTGGGATCATGCTGTCAGGGTGGGCTTGGCTCTGGCTGAGGTAACATTGGGACCTGTGCCTGAAAGTGGGAACCAACTAAAACTGCAGAGAAAATGGCTCAGGGTGAATCAGCAGCAGATATTGAACCAGGGATCTGACTTTAAGCAGAGAAAGAATAGAAACACTGACACAGGTGAGTTTTGCTGTGAATCCTATATAATCCAAACTAAATGTTCATGAAAATAATTGATAACTCCTTCCAGAGCCTCTCTGATAATTGGGAGGCAGTTGGTATGACAGTAGTTGGAGGCTTTTTATTCATCCTTTTCTGTGGGATCTAGTTGGGTAACTGTTCATGTTTTCTGGTAGATGCCAGACCAAAGCAGTACTGGAACAATAGTGTTCGGAGAGTGGCAATAGCACAGGCCTTCACTATTTCACTGGGATATTATCAGGGCTCACAGCCTTCACTGTGTCCAGTACACGGAGCCATTTCCTGTTTCGAGGAATGAACCAGATCAGCCGGACATCGGACGAAGCCTAACATCAGTAGTTGGGAAAATTCTCGAATCCATTATCAAGGATTTTGTAGCGGATCATTTAGAAAGCAGTGGCAGGGTCAGACAGAGTCAGCATGGATTTATGAAGGGGAAATCCTGCTTGACAAATCTGTTGGAATTCCATGAAGATGCAACTAGTAGAGTTGACAAGGGGCAGTCAGTCAATGTGGTATATTTGGACTTCCAGCAAGCGTTTGTCAAAAGACCGGCATAAGAGATTATTGTGCAGAATTAACGTGCATGGGATTGGGGGAAGTGTATTGAGGTGGATAGAAAACTGATTAGTAGAGAGGAAACAAAGAGTAGGAATTAATGGGTTCTTTTCAAATTGGCAGGCAGTAACTAGAGGGGTGCCACAGGGATTGGTGCTGGGACCCCAGCTATTCACAACATATATTAATGATTTGGATGAGGGAACGAAATGTAACATCTCCAAGCTTGCAGCTGATACCGAGTTGGGTAGGAGGGTGAACTGTGATGAGGATGCAGAGATCCTTCAGCATGATCTTGACAAGTTGGGTGAGTGAGCAAATCAATGGCAGATGCAGTATAATTTGGATAAACGTGAGGTTATTCACTTCAGAAGTAAAAACAAGAAGGCAGATTACTACCTGAATGGCTGTAAATTGGGAGAGGGGAGTGTGCAATGGGACCTGGGTGTCCTTGTGCAAAGTCGCTGAAGGTAAGCATGTAGGTGCAGCAGGTGGTAAAGAAGGCAAATGGTATGTTGGCCTTCATTGCGAGAAGTTTTGAGTACAGGAGCAGGGATGTGTTGTTGCAGTTATACAGGGCTTTGGTGACGCCACACCTAGAATATTGAACACTGTTTTTGTCTCCTTTTCTGAGGAAGGATGCTCTTGCTCTTGAGGGAATGCAGTGAAGGTTTACCAGGCTGATTCCGGGGATGGTGGGTCTGACGTATGAGGAGAGATTGACTAGGTTGGGATTGTTTTTGCTAGAGTTCAGACGAATGAGGGAGGATCTCATAGAGACTTATAAACTGCTAACAGGGCTGGACAGGGTAGATGCAGGGAGGATATTCCCGATGGTGTGTCCAGAACCAGGGGTCACAGTATGAGGATTCAGGGTAGACCATTTAGGATGGAGATGAGGAGACATTTTTTCACCCAAAGAGTGGTGAGCCTGTGGAATTCATTATGACAGGGAGTAGTTGATGTCAAAACATTGAATATATTCAAGAGGCAGCTAGATATAGCACTTGGGGCGAATGGGATCAAAAGTTATGGAGAGAAAACAGGATTAGGCTATTGAGTTGGACGATCAGCCATGATCATGAATAATGACGGAGCAGGCTCGAGGGGCCGAATGGCCTCCTCCTGCTCCTATCTTCTATGTTTCTATGTTTATGATGGTTGTGACCTCAACAGGAGGCACAGCAGGAATCATTCACCCAGAAATTATAGACAAAAAAGAGAAATTGCTGGAAAAGCCCAGCAGGTCAGGGAGATCAGAATTAATATTTCGGGTCGAGTGACCCTTCCTCAGAAGCTAAAAATTAAATTCAGCCTCACACTTTGCCACACTGGAGTTTGATGCTGTGACCTTTGCAATAGACCTTAAACACTTGCACTTATACAGCACCTTAACCATCCCAAGATGCTTCACAGGAGCAAAATCTGACAGAAAAAATTGAAACTGAATTAGAGGAGACATTTGGGCAGGTGATCCAAAAGTTTGATTAGGAGTAGGAGTATGTTAAAGGAAGAGAGATTTAGGGAGGGAAACCCTGAGGTTTAGACCTGGGCAGCTGAAGTTGCATCATCATTGTTGGTGTGATGGAGAAGTGAATGATGTGGGGAATGCAAAATGTCCTACGGATCAGGAGAGTAGCCATATCGGAACAAGTATAGAGAAATTCTGTGGAGGGAGAAACCGAGTTAACGTTCAAGTCCTCAGAAGTGAAAGGTGTTGGAAATTTTTTTTTATATACTTTTGGCAGGAGGTAGAGGAAAAGCAAGAGGGCAGATGATGAAGATAGTCAGTGCAGAAGACAAAAGGGTTGTTAATAGTGGAGAGATGTAAAATGGGATGTGAGAGAGAGAGAGTTGGTCATAGAGTCAAAGTGGTCCACAACACAGAATAAGGCCGTTCAGCCCATTGAGTCTGTGCCAGTCAAACCCAAAACGTCAGTTTTCCTGCTCCTATGATGCTGCTTGGCCTGCTGTGTTCATCCAGCTCTACACCTTGTTATCCCTAACTATTCTCATCCTATTTCCTGCACTTGGCAATATAACCTCGTAACCTTGGCTTTTGCAAGAATACATTCAAAGACTTGTTACCTGTTCTAAGGATCCTTTCTACTAGGTGCAAAGTAAACAAAACACCAACACCAATCTGCTAGGGGGGTGGAAGAGATGTAAGAGAAATGGACAGCAGATATAATGTGATTAGTTCTGAAGAAGGCTCAGTAGACTCGAAACATTAACTCTGTTTTCTCTGCTGCCGAGTTTCTGCAGCAATCTCTGTTTGCATTCCTCCCAAGACTTGAAGGAAGAGTAAATGCTGCGCCGGGAGGAATTTTGAACAGCTGTGTACAGATCCGGTTGGCAGGCAGGTTAACAGGTGGGAGGTGTGGCTGTGTATAAGTTTCAGCCTCTGGGAGAATGAGCTGTTTTGTGCTCTACGTGTCATAGGCAGTGCAAACAGCTCCAACACTGAGGTGGAGTGGCCAAACAGGTTCCCTGGAAGGAGAGTTTTTCTTAAAAAAGATGATGCCTGCAAATGGAAATTTGCTGTACAAAGGCAACTGCCGCAAGCCGTTAGGGAAACTGGCTCAGAGGCTGGAAGAGGTGAAGTGTCCCTGGAGGCAGAGCTCCGGCCTGGAGCTCAGTCACAGTGAAGTGGCCAGGCTGGCTACAGACGCCTTGCTGGAGTCCGGCCTCGCCGCCTACAAGCGGGCACTGGCTGGCGAGAGGGAGCTGGGCTTCCTCTCCAAGCTGGAGATCGCCTACATCAGTCAGAGGGGTGGAGTGGCCAGGCTGGCCGAGCCCAGCCACAGTGACTGGGAAGCCGGGGACACGCAGTCGGAGCTGACCTCGGGCACCTACTTCCCCATGCAGTCCGACTCCGAGGCTCCAGTGCTGGACCTAGGCTGGTCCAAAGGTCAATCCTGTGCCTCCCTGCCCTCAGACACTCAGGTCATCTTCCAAAGGGACAAGACTCACAGCATCAAGGACACCATACGCCAGTTGTTCAGCGAGGCCAAGTCGGTAGGTGCACTGTCTAATCACCTCAAGTGAGCTTTTACCCCTGTCATAACTGAGGGTTGGGTGCAGATATTAGCCTAGCCTATGTAAGCCCCATCCAATTAATCCCACTCCCCTGCCCTTTCTCCCTAACCCTGCACATTTTAGCAAGTATTTATCCAATTGCCTTTGGGAGGTGATGGTTGGATTTTCTTTTACTTCCCTTTTGAGGCAGCACATTCTGAATCCATGCATCAAAAGCATTCTCCTCTCTGCTGTGGTTCTCTGCCAATCACCTTAACTCTCTCTGCCCTCTGGTCACTGACTGCCGTCTCACAGGAAACAGTTGCTTGCAATCTGATCTATCAGGATGTAGGATTTTGACCATTTCTGTTAAACCCTTCCTTCAGCTTTTGCGGTGAATGAAATAGTTTCCAATCTGTTTGTGTAACTGAAGCACCTCAACTAATGTGGATGGACCCCAGGATCGAACATGTGCTCAGAATGTGCCCAGTGTTCAATATAACATCTCACCACTGACAACATGGTCAGAAATCACATGACACCAGCTTATAGTCCCACAGGTTTATTTAAAATCACAAACTTTCGTAATGCTGCTCCTTCGTCAGGTGAGGTGACTGTCAACGTAGACATAAACAGAACGGAGACATTACAGCAGAATAAGCTGCTCCCTTTCTCCAAAGACAGTGGATTGCAGAATCGAGATTTTTAAAGGCAGTGGTAGATTGTTGATGACGAAGAGGGTGAATATTCTCAGGGGTATGCAGGAATGTAGAACTGAGGTTAAAATCTGATCAGCTGCTATTTTATTGAATGGTGAAGCAGGGCCCAAAGGGGTGAGTGGCCTACCGTTGTTCATATATTTGTAGAAATAGCCACGTATCTGCTTCAGTCCTTCCCAGAGATGTACAGAGACATTAGTTGTGTTTCTTTTAGTTGACTCCTTTACAAACAGCTGATGTTCCTGTCCAAGGTGTTTACTTCTTGTTTGTTAAGTGAAATGTCATCCCAGGACCTGCTGTGCAGCCAGAACAGAAACTAGTTGCTGAGTTTTCCCTCCCATCGTTCCCTCACAATCCAATTGCCCAGCTTCCCAATCTGATCAACACCCCGTGTCTTCACTCTTATTTTCAATTTATGTTTAATTCATATATTTATCAATTCATTTTATAGTACAACTTGAATGCAGCACTACAGAAATGTGCAATGCAGTTGAATTGGTTAAACATGGTACTGTAAGCATCTCATGCTACTTAAATGATGCTTAACTGAAGAATGTAAATGTGTAGATTGCCTGTATGTGTGTTGGCATTATGTTAAACATATTGCCTGTCTATCAGGGCTAGTAACTTACAGAACTCCTCGGTTGTTTCCTTGTATTGAATGTCACAATTAGTTCATGTTACAATTTTGCAATGGGATTGAGATATCTAAGAGTGCAAAGTGCTCAAGTGCTCAACATAGAATTTTATTGTATTTTCCATAACATCCTCTTTAAAACGGTTAGTAATGTGCTTATAGATATTTGTGAATAAATGTATTGTTGCAAAAAATTAAAATACATCCTGTGTAGTTTTACTCTGATTCCAGTTTCTTGCTTTTTTAAAAGTAATATATTCTTTCATGGGATGTCAGCAATGCTGGCAATTTGTTGCCCATCCAGAATTGCCCTCGAATTGAGTGACTTCCAGTGACAACCACATTCCATGCCAACGAGGCCAGATCCATTTTTCCCACCCCAGGAACATATCGAACCTGAGCAGGTGAGGAGACCTTGAACCTGGGGACCATTTCCCTGCAATCACGACAGAAACATCACTGCCACATGCTCACATCTCTGAGGTTGCCTTTTCATTTCTCCCAGTTTTTGGTGTGTGTCCTGACCTCTCTGACTCCTATCACAGGACCTGCAGGTGGTCTGACATGACTGTGAAAGGGGTCAAAGGGTCAATTGTCCCAGAGCCAGAGCAAATTACTTTGGCTACTGAGGCAAATCTTGGAAGAATCTGAGGCAAAAAGGAGTCTCAATGGTTCTTTCGCCTCCTAGGGATTCTTACCTTTTTGTTTTTGTAAAAATATACTTTGTTCACAAACTATCTAAGAACATTACAAATGCAACTTTTCTCCATTGTACACGTTGCCCTCTTACGTCCCTCAATCTAATTGCAGGCTTACCATATCCATTTAGTGACAAGTATTCAGCCCAAGGACGAGAGTGAACGGTGGAATATTGGCAGTAGGGACTTAGGTAAATTATCACTTATGGAGTGAACAATAGTAGACAGCTCGAATGCTCCATGACTTGAGCACAGGCGTGACTGATAGTTTCAGTGGCAGACACAGCTGAAATGAGAAGATCGAGAAATAGTCAAAGTATTAAATGGAAAGTTATTTTAAAATAAGAACTCTTATTCGGAGAATGATTGAATGTGGAATACTCTGTCTCAGAACGTTGCTGGATCAGTGGCCCTATATCGTTGTCATGGGAATTAGATAATTGCCTGGCAGAGAGAAATATTATGGGATATGGCAACCAATAGAATAAGGCAGCTCAAGTGAAGTAAGGGACTGATGGTCAGTTTCTGCATTGTGACAATCTATGATCTGATCTGTCTCAAATATAAAATTCCCTAAACAGTTTTTAAAATGGTTTGCCATCTATCATCTCAAGCAATTTAAATTAATTGCTGCTCTTCCATTGTTCCATGCAGTTGCTTTCATGCAAGCTAATTATCTCCTGATGCTCCCTCTGCCATTTCAAATCCAGGGAGAAAGTTTGAAGCTGTTCAAAAACTGCTGTTAAAATTCCAATGTTGGAACTGCCTTCATGCGGCATAAAGTGTTTGTTTCTTTGTTATTGTGTTTTCAACAAATCCTTCTGGAATTTAATTTTTGTAAAAGGAAAGAAGAATGAAATTTTTGATTGTTCGTGTCCTCTTTTCTTTGCAGCTCATTGCGATTATGATGGATCTGTTCACTGATGTTGACATATTTTGTGACTTGTTGGAAGCTTCTGCTAAACGGGGAGTGCCCGTCTACCTACTTCTGGAAGAAACTAACCTGGAACACTTTATGCTAATGTGTGACGAGCTTGACATTCAAAAAGATCACGTGATGGTAAGTTTTTGTTGCTTATTCAATCTCACGTCAACAGGAAATGGTGATTTTTTTCTTAATATGACCAGCTTCTGTTGTAGCAGGTACCTATTGTCTCAGGGCACACCATATGGTGGCTGCAGAATCTTTGGATAGTATTACCCCCAAAGTTCCCTTTGCCAGAGGACTGTCCCATTTGCCAATGACTGCTCAGTTATGCTGATGTTGTGTTGAACATGACACCAAATTAAACTAATCCCTTCTGCCTGGCCTTGGTCCATATCCCTCCATTCCTTGTATATTCACAAGCTTATCTAAAAGTCCTTTAAACGCCCCTATTGTATCTACTGCTACCATCACCCTGGCAGCATGTTCCAGACACGTACCACTCAGTGTTTCTAAAAAAAAAACTTGCACCTCTCACCTTAAATGCATGCCCCTTAGTATTAGACATTTCAACTCTGGGGGAAATAGATTCTGATTGTCAATCCTATCTTGTAATTTTATGGACTTCTTACAAGTCTCCCGTCAGCCTGCGCCCTCCAGAGAAAACAACGTAGTTTTTCTAACCCCTCCTTATAGCTCATACCCTCTAATCCAGGCAGCATCCTGGTAAACCCCTTCTACACCCTCTCCAAAGCCTCCACATCCTTCCTGTAATGTGGTGACCAGAATTGAAACAGTACTCAAGTGTGGCCTAACCAAAGTCTTCTAAAGCTGCAACATGACATCCTGACTCTTGTACTCAATTCCTCGACTGATAAAGGCAAGTGTGCCATATGCCTTCTTTAACACACTATCTACTTGTGTGGCCGTTTCCTTGGTATTTCTAGATATTAGAGATCAAGTGACATGGTGTTCAGGTCAAGGATCACATAACCTGATTGAATGATAGAGCAGATTCAAAGGGCTGAATGGCCTACTCTTCCTTTTTCCTCTGTTCTCATGAAAACAAGAAAACTAGGAAGCTATTCAATCCCTCGAGCCTGTTCTATCATGTAATGAGGAAAACCGTGGGGAGAAGGTAGGGGAATGGGACTACGAATGGACGAGGTGAGTTGTTCTTGGAGAGAGCCAGCACTGACTCAGTGGCTGTAAAGTCTGCTTTTTATTGTCATAACCATTCCCTGATTCTGTCACCCGGATGGGAATGGATTCGTGCCTAGAGTTGTGGTGCATCAGGGGAATGCATCTTGCATTGAGAATGCCAAAGTGAGATTAGTACAACCCTATGAAAGGTGACTTGTTCATTTCCCTACTGGCATTGAGAGCAGCCAACCAGGAATCTTTGACTTCTGTTACCTGATCAATGTCCCCCAAAGTGTATCTGAAATCATGATCCTTGGACAATTCTCAATGGTTGGCATCTGGCTATACTTTTGATATAACCGTTCTATTCTACACCCATTGTATTAGGCTCATTCTAAGCATTTAATAAAGAGTTGCTAACAAAATTGCAATCTGGAGATTGCATAATTCAAAGTCTTGAACTTTTCCGATTTTGTGAACCCATTAAGTATGGAGAAGAATGGGCACTTTTTTCCTTGTGTTAGAAAACATCTCTTTTCTCCCCATCACACCCCATGAACACTCACCGTGAGTGGATTTCTGAAGAAGGGTCCGGACCCGAAACGTCAGCTTTCCTGCTCCTCTGATGCTGCTTAGCCTCCTGTGTTCATCCAGCTCTACACCTTGTTATCTCAGATTCTCCAGCATTGGCAGTTCCTACTATCCATGAGTGGAGTGATGTCCATATTTCCTTTATCCATATGATTATTCTGCCTTCCCCACAACAAAACAACACAAATATTGGAGATTCCTTTTAGATCCTGTAGCACAAGGAACGCACATCCCAGTAAAACAGGTTTCAATCACATTCAGCATGCCATTTGAGAGTTTCAACATTTTACAATGTTTGAGTCAGGTCTACAATGAGCCTATTTGGGGCTGTTCCTCAGATTGCTGTGGGTGGTTTGGGAAGCACTGTAGGGCAGACAAAGCAATCAGGGTACTGAGGAAATCCCCACCGTTTGGAGGGCTAGCATCTGATGCCCATCAGTACTGTATGGGTATTTAACATCTCATCATTGGCTGCTCCAATGGCAGATCAGGAAACTCAGAAACACTGATTGGCTTGGATTAAAAATTAGATTGTGATGTTGATCAAATCAAAACACTAGAACGTGGTCTTAAATAGTAAATATTTTTTCAGGATCTTTGGTACTAATGTAAAAACCTTTGGATTTCTACCAGACCTGGACTCATCTCAGTGGGTTTCTTCACATTCAGTGATGTTGAGTTTGCTCCACTCTACCAGATAATTACAATCTAGGTTATGCTTTGAAGTTCAACTTAAGCACCAGAAGATCAGTTTTACAGCCTGAGTCATCCCCCACATGCTTATATGCAGTATATTTTCCCTTTCTAGAACATGCGGATCAGGAGCGTGGTGGGAGACACATACTGCACAAAGTCTGGGAAGAAGTTTAGTGGCCAAGTCCTGGAGAAGTTCATGATAATTGACCTGGAACAAGTGGTGGCAGGTTCATACAGGTAAATATTGAGCACACCATTTACACTGAGCACTTCCAATTATTGCCCTATTGATCTCTCTGTGTGCCTTCTTCCCAACTGCTGTCTTAGCCAGCCTTCCACCTTCTATGTTCCAGGAGACAGCTTATCCAAATCTCCTTCCAGTAAAGTCTCCATTCCATTCTCCCAGTTCCTCCATCTCTGTCACATCTGTTCTGATGATGTCACCTTCCGCAGGGGAGCCTCAGAAACATCCACCTTTTAACCTCAACCAAGGATTCCCCACCATCGTGCTTCATAGGGCCCTTAGCTGTGTCCAGCCCATTTCCCGCACTTTGGCCGTCACCCTTTCTATTCCCTCCTACAACAGCAACAGGGAACCCCCATCCTCACTTTTCACCTAAACAGCATCAGCATCCAAAGGATCTTAAGCCACTATTTCTGCCACCTCCAGTGAGATGCCACCACCAGATACACATTTCCCCTACCTCCCTTGTCAGCCTTTCGCAGGGATCATTTCCTCTGGTACTCCCTGGTCCACTCCTCCTCCATTCCCAACACCTCCCCACACCCCCACAGCACCTTGCCCAGCAATCACAAAAGATGCAACGCTTATACATGTACATACTTATACCACACTTGCCCATATACTTCCTCCTTCCTCACTATCCAAGGTGAAGCAGCACTTTACTGCACTTTGCTCAATCTAGTCTACTGTGTTTGTTGCTCACAATGTGGTCTCCTCTACACTGGGGAGATGAAATGCAGGCTGGGCGACTGCTTTGCAGAACACCTACACTTTGTCCCCAGAAATGATCTCGAGCTTCCGGTTTCCTGGCCAACATCTGTCTCAGGCTTGCTGCAGTGTTCCAGCGAAGCTCCACGCAAGCTGGAAGAACAGCACCTCATTTCCTGCTTGGGAGCTCTGCAGTCTCCTTGGTACTAATGTAAACTCAATATCGAGTTCAATAATTTTAGGGCCTGAGCACCTTCTTCCAAGTCCTTACCCAACCTCCACACACCAGGCTTGTCATGAAATGGGCTACTTTCAGCATAGCCAACACATTTTCACCCACTTACTGTCCCCATTGAGTGTATCTCCTTCACTGGCTAACTGTTAACCATCCCTTTGTCCGCCTAATTTTTTTTTCTCGCTCTTTGGGCTCCATCTCCACAATCCTTTAACCCCAACCACGTCCTATCATCGGTATACATATCACTTTTTCCAAGCTCCTATTAGCTCTAAAGGAATTGGTTTCACTCCGTTAGCTGGCTGGTTGGATTGCAATGCAGACTAACACCAACGGTATGGGTTTGATTCCTGCTTCGCCTGAGACTCCTGTGAGAGGCTCTCCTTCTCAGTCTTCTTTCTCATCTGAGATGTGTTGTCTCTCCGGTTAAACCACCACAAGTCATCTCTCTGTAAGGAGAGAGCAGCCCCATGGGGATTTTACTTATCGGTTTTGAAGAAGGATCACTGGACTTCAAGTACTAACTCTGGTTCTGTCCACAGATGCTGCCAGACCTGCTGAGTTTCTCCAGCACTTTGTTTTTGATTCTGAATCTCCGTTGTCAATGTCCTAACTCTCATCATCCCAGTGCTCAATGATTTACATTGGCTCCAGGTCCAACAACGTTTCAATTTCTAAAAATAAATGATCATCCTCATGTTCAAATCTCCATATGTCCTAATCCCTCATTATCTCCGTAAAGTCCTTCAGCCTTACAGCTCTCTAAACCCTGTGATCTGGTCCTCTTACACAATGGCAAGTAAACCTCTTATAAAATCGCTACAAAGTCTCAAAGAAATGAAACTGGATGGATCACCTGGCATCGACCTAGACACTGGAAAAGACAACGGCAGAAACAGCCCTGTCCTCCTTGCTGACATCTGGGTGCTAGTACCAAAGTTGGGAGAGCTGTCTCAGACTAGTCACACTTCAAACCCATGACCACTTCCATCTAGAACTACAAGAGCAGCAGATATATGGGAACACCACCACCTTCAAGTTCCCCTACAAGCCACTCACCATCCTGACTTGGAAATATATCGCCGTTCCTTCACTGTCATTGGGTCAAAATCCTGGAATTCCCTCCCTAATGGCATTGTGGGTCAACCCACAGCAGGTGGACTGCAGCGATTCAAGAAGGCCGCTCACCACCACCTTCTCAAGGGCAACTAGGGACGGGCAATAAATGCTGGCCCAGCAAGTAATGCCCATATCCCAGTACAGCTAACATTGAGAGAAAAAGTCTTCTGACTCAGGACACATGTACAGCCATCGCTTGTTTGTTTTTCCTTTTTTATTCTTTCAAGAGATGTGGCTGTCACTGATAAGGCCAGCATTTGTTGTCCATCCCTAATTGCCCTTGAGTAGCTGGCAAGCCTATTCTGAGGACAACTAAAGAGTCTGGCATAAGCATCATTGGGTTGGGATGGCAGATGTCCTTCCCTAAAGGGAAATAGAGAACCAGATAGGAGATTTTTTTATTAGATATCTACAATAATAATTTCATGGTATCATTACTGAGACTAACTTTCAATTCCAGACTTTTTAAAAAATTACTTGAATTAAAATTTTAACAGCTGATTTGAGCCCACGGTCCTTTGGTCTGAGTTAGAAATCGAGGAAGAATATCACTAGGCCGCCATCACATTATTATTCACATCGTGCCTTCAGCTGCCTGGGCCTTAAACCCCTGGAATTGTCTCCTTAAACCTCTCTTTCGCTCTTGTCTTAAAATCTTTAAGTCCTGAAATACTACTTTTGACCAAGCTTTGGTCACCTGGCTTAATTTCTCGTTTGGCTCTGCAGCAGTTGTCTAATTAATCTTCTGTGAAAATGTTTTACTACCTTGAAGATGCTAAATGTAGGTTGTTGTAAAATCACACTTCAGTTCTGTGATCTTTATCCCCAACATTGAAGGTTAGCCTCAGTCTTGGAACTGCACGTGGACTGTATCAAAAGTACATTTTCAACTGTTTTCCCCTTCCCTCCCTGCCAAATCAGATTGGTTTGCAATCGCAATTGGCTGCACTCCATATTCTATAGATTAGTGTCAGGAGTAACATTGGCCTTATCCCAAGAAATGAACTCAACAAAGATACCAAGAAGGTGCAAGAGAGAACATCTGTTTAAATGTAATCGGAGCAACAAAATTACTGAATTTGAAATACACCCCATTGACTGCGGCGGACCCACTGACCAGACATTACTGCTTGATCATGGTCAGATTTTGGGGAAAGCTGGATGTAATCAGGATGAGAATTTCTGGCTCTGTATGGTGATGTTCTGAGTATTGGTCAGAAGACATAACTTGAGGCTCGGTTTCTTACTATGGGGTGGCACGCTGGCTCAGTGGTTAGCACTGCTGCCTCAGTGCCAGGGATCCAGATTCAAGTCTAGCCTATCTGTCGATTATGGAGTTTGCACATCGCCCTCCCTGTGTCTGCGTGGGTTTCCTCCCGTAGTCCAAAGATGTGCATGTTAGGTGGATTGGCTGTACTGAATGGCCCATTGTGTCCACGGATGTGCAGGCTCTGTGTGTTAGCCATGGGAAACAGAAGTTTACAGGGATATTCTTCAGCAGGTCAGTGTGGACTCAATGGGCCAAATGGCCTGCTTCCACACGGTAGGGATTCTATGATTCTTTCGGGCCTTTTGTTTTTCACAGCTGGGGATCTTGTTCTTCTTTTTAACTGAATGAATTAACAGTTTTTCCTTCACCTTACCCCACCCTTATCCTGAGGTCATGGTGACTGAATGCATTTCTCTGTGTGGTTGTGAAGAAGGTACAAAGGCTATTTAGAGATAGTCATAATCTTATGGTAGTGCTGGCGATGCCAACTTCCCAGGTATAGGTAGTAAGTTAATTTAAGGCTGTGTTGTTTTAACATGTTCCAGCCAGTTCTCTATGCTTAACTTCGGTTTGTGAAATGGAAGTGAAAACTATTTCACAATTTACTGCTCTGAATTGCATTGTGAGTTCCTGCTTTTTGCCAATTGTTTGTTAAAGTTCAGTGGACTTTGAGAATATCTCAGAGAGACACTTGTTGACCATTAAACAACAAAGAATTGGCATTCTTATGTCTTTCATAACCTCCAGGCTTCCCAAAGTATCTTTTAGAATTGCAAACACAGTTGGAAAATGGCAGATGTTGCAATCAGTTTGTATACAGCAAGTGCCCATAGACAGCATGTGACAAATGACCACAGGAAGAGATAATAATAAACCTTTGCAATGCATCAAAGGATCTGAAAGCAGCATCTTGTATCAGGTAAAGCAGAAGAAAATGCAAATACTTACCATATTTTGTACACTCAGTACAAAAGTACTTTTATAAGTGGGGTTTACTTGCTGTTATGTAAGAGGAGCAGATCAGTGGATGTACAGAGTTAAAATCAACTCTGTTTAGAGAAGTGCAATTTTCAGCAATATTGTCCACTGCTTACAATCACCCCTTATAACAGAATGACTGTCCATTTTACTAAAATGCCATTGATTACTTACTGTCAATCTAAGAGTCAATTCCTAAGGTGCTGCTTGTAATTAATACACTCAGTGGAGGACTCATACTCTATCCTTAGATACCTAAAAGGCTCTACTAATTTCAGGCAAGTCGAGCAGTTTCAGTCAGCTGTTTACAGCTGCTTTAGGTGAGATTCTGTCATGGATATATAACTGATAATAACTTGTTAAAAGAGGCTGTTGCTAAATGAAGACAGTTTTTATAAAGTTTAATTACTTTGTTTTTCTCCACAATACGCAATGGGAACTATGCAGATAAGCACAGGACACAAAAGTGAAGATTTGTATCAGCCTTCAGGCTCTGATTTAAATCTGTGGATGGGCAGTTATTTAAAATAAACCTGGGAAAACCAGATCCTGTCATGATTGTTCAAAAGTGTTGAGTCAGGTATGAGAATCCTTTTTTATAAAAAAGCACTGTTGTCTTTGGATAATCCTTTCTTTGAATGAGTCATGGATAAATAAACTGTATTATTTAAAATAGTGAATGTTGAGGATATTGCCAGAGGTACTTTGCATTTTTAAAGAGTAGGAGGAATCCCAGTGAAAAGATTGCTGAGGCTGGGACCAGTGAAGATGTCAGGACTAAGGTCGGCAGGTTTTTGTTGGGTATGTTAAGGGTGAGTCATTACCTAATCAGTGGCATGATGGTAACATCACTGGCTGAGCACTCCAGTTAATGGTCTGGGGGTGTGAGTTCAAATCTCACTGTGGCTGCTATAGCAAAGATGTTGTCAAACTTGAAAGAGTTCAGAAAATGTTGCCAGGGTTGGAGGGTTTGAGTTATCGGGAGAGGCTGAATAGGCTGGGGGCTAGTTTCCCTGGAGCATCAGAGGCTGAGGGGTGAACTTATCGAGGTTTATAAAATCATGAAGGGCACGGATAGGGTAACAGACCAGGTCTTTTCCCCAGGGTGGGGGAGTCCAAAACTAGAGGGCATAGGTTTAAGGTGAGAGGGGATAGATTTAAAAGGGACATAAGGGGGAGCTTTTTCACGCGGAGGGTGGTGCGTGTATGGAATGAGCTGCCAGAGGAAGTGGTGGAGGCTGGTACAGTTCCAACATTTAAAAGGCATCTGCATGGGTATATGAATATGAAGGGATTGGAGGGATATCGGCCAAATGCTGCCAAAGGGACTAGGATCAGTTTAGGATATCTGGCATGCGTGAGTTGGACCAAAGGATCTGTTTCCATGCTGTACATCTCTAACTTTATGGTAGCTGGTGGCATTCAAATTCAATTAATGCCTCGAGTATAAGATGATGACATTCATCAATTGTTGTTTAAAAACTCAGCTGGGTTCACTGATGCCCTTCAGGGAGGGAAAATTGCTGTCCTTACCCTGGTCTATCCTATATGTGACCGTAGGTGTATTTGACTCTTAACTGCCCTCTGTAATGGGCTAGCAAGCCACACAGTTCAAGGGTAGTTTGCAATAAATGCTGACCTTACTAATGATACCCGCAGTCCATGTGGGAATAATGGAAAACACATTGATTTCATTACATAGTGTTGAAGGACTGAATCTCCAACATGCTACTGCTGTGTTCCTTACTGGAAAGAGTTACTAAGCCCAGTATTGTGTAATTTAGTTGGTTGCAGAAACTCTTATCATCCTCAGGTGATGTGGAGGTGCTGGTGTTGGACTGGGGTGGACAAGGTCAGAAATCATACAACACCAGGTTATAGTCCAACAGGTTTATTTGAAATCACAAGCTTTTGAAGAGCTGCCCCTTCATCAGGTGCAGTGAGAGGGCAGGGCACACAGACACAGAGTTTATAGGCTGAGATCAAAAGATCATACACCTGGTGTGAGTGGAGTGTCGGATAATAAGTCTCTGCAGGTAACCAAGAGTGTTAGATGGTGTATAAAGTGTTTATAAAGTCAATGTCAATGTTGTACTGTCATGACAATCAGGCAGAGCGATAGGAATATACAAAAGATGACATCTCAAGTCAGTGTCTGACCTGTAGGGGTGAGGCTTTGTTCAGAATCTGTTTGAGTTTTAACCTGGAATCAGGCTGATTTTATTCCAAAAGCTGGAATTTATAAGATGCCACACTGGTCGTGATTACAAATTGTGTATTTTTTTTTTTTTTTTTTTTTTTTTGAACAAAATAAAATGTATCTGCAAATAAACATCTTGGATGAAATGGTTCACCCCTTGAATTTGTGTTTGGGGGTGTGTATGTGAGAGAGAGAGCCTCTCCTAGTAACGGTTGAAAGCAGTACCACCACGAGGAAACCCATCATCAGTTCATCTGACCGCACCCTCCAACCGGACAAAATTGAAGTTCTCAGCTGAGGATTCAGTTTCTGCCCCATCACCAAAATGGACCCCATTGGTCTTGCGGCAGACAGAGGAATTCATCAGATGTATGAGGCTCCCGGAATTCTTCCACAATCCCCAGGATGTCAGCAGCGAGCCCAATGAGACAACCAACAATCCGGAACAGTCGACAGAGATCCGTGATGCAGTGAAGGAGTCGAATTGGACCCCAACCCCGGAACGCCGCTGCCATTGGCTCGACATGTATGCTGAAGCTGTCAGGAGATGTGTCAATGCCAGATTCATCAGCTGCGCTCACAAGATAGTGCAGAACATCATCCAAGCACAACGCAACGCCATGCAGGCTCTCAAGGCCAACCGCAACATTGTCATCAAACCAGCAGACAAAGAAAGAGCTGTCATCATGCAGACTACTGCAAAGAAACATACAAACAACTGAACAACCAGGAACACTGCAGGCAACAACCTGCCAATCCTACCAAAGAACACACCTGTCAACTCAACAGACTGATCAAGGCTTTTGATCCTGTCCTTCAGAGTGGCCTATGCACTCTCATCCTATGTATGTCTCACGTAGGGGACTTCTATTGCCTTCCGAATATACACAAAGCCAACACACCTGTACATCCCCTCATAGCAGGTAATGGGACCCGGTGTGAAAACCTCTCTGGCTATGTTGAGGGCATCTTGAAACTCACTGTACAAGGAACCTCCAGCTTCTGTCACAATGCTGCAGATTTCTTTCAGAAACTCAGCTCCCACAGACCAGTCAAACCAGGAACGTTCCTCATCACAATGGATGTTTTCGGCACTCTATACCAGCATCCCCCAAGACGACGGCTTCACTGCAACAGCCTCAGTACTCAAAACCACCAATTGCCAATTTCCAGATACCATCCTACAACTAATCCACTTCATCCTTAACCACAACATCTTCACCTTCAACAACAGTTCTTCATCCAGACACATGGAACAGACCTGGGGACCAAATTTGCTCCCCAATATGCCAATATTTTCATGCACAAGTTCAAGCAAGACTTCTTTGCTGCACAGGACCTCCCACCAATGCTATACACTAGATACATTGATGTTTTCTTCCTTTTGGATTCATGGCAAGGAATCACTAAAACAACTACCATGGACTACTCTTCAGAATCAGGCTCATTCCTGGACACACACATCTCCATCAGGGATAGACACCTCAGTACCTCACTCTGCCGCAAGCCCATGGATAACCTCACGATGCTGCACTTTAGTTTCCACGCTAAACATGTTAAAGAAGCCATCCCCTATGGATAGGCTTTATGCATACACAAGGTCTGCTCAGCTGAGGACGAACACGATGAACACTTTTTTTAAAAGTTTTCATCAGAATGGGATAAGATGCTCAACTCATCGATCACGAGTTCCAACATGCCACAGCGAAAAACCGCAACAACCTCCTCAGAAGATGATCACGGGACACGACCAATAGAGTACCCTTCGTCGTCCAGTACTTCCCCTGAGCGGAGAAACTACGCCATGTTCTTCACAGCCGTCAACATGTCATCGATGATGATGAGCATCTCACCAAAATCTTCCGTACGCCTCCACTTCTCGCCTTCAAACAACTGCCAAACCTTAAACAGACCATTGTTCACAGCAAACTACCCAGCCTTCAGGACAACATCAACCACAGCACCACATAACCCTGTCATGGTACCCTCTGCAAGAAATGTCAGATCATCAACATGGATACTACCACCACACGTGGGAACACCACCCACCATGTACACGGTACATACTCACGTGACTTGGCCAATGTTGTTTATCTCATACGCTGCAGGCAAGGATGCCCCAAGGCATGGTATATTGGTGAGACCATGCAGATGCTATGACAATGGAAGAATGGACACTGCACAATAATCACCAGGCAGGAATGTTCCCTCCCAGTTGGGGAAACTTCAGCAGTTAAGGGCATTCAGCCTCTGAGCTTTGGGTAAGAGTCCCCAAGGCAGACTCCAAGATACACAACAACGCAGAATTGCTGAGCAGAGACTGATAGCCAAGTGCGGTACCCATAAAGATGGCCTCAACCGTAATCTTGGGTTCATGTCGTGCTACAGATGACCCCACCACACTGTAAAACCTTCTTTACTTTCCTGTTTTGAAAGCATCACCTTGATAAATTGTTATGATTTCTCTGCCTTAATTAGTTTGTACACACACACACACACACACACACACACACACACACACACACACACACACACACACAAATCTAAGGGGTGAATCATTTCATACTTTGTTCAAAAAATACACAATGTGTAATCACAGTCAGTCAGTTTAGCATCTTATAAATTCTAGCTTTTAGAATGAGACCAGGTTAAAACTCTTCAGACAGATTCTGAACAAGGC